GAGCGGAGGCCGCGGCCGGGGGCAGCCGAGGCCGAGGCCGGGGGGAGCGGAGGCCGAGGCCGGGGGGAACTGGGCCCATAGGTCCCGAAGGCGCGGAGGGAGGGCCCGGCTCCAGGAAGAGGGGAGGCCTTTACCTAGCGGCAGCAGCTGCGACGGGTTGGTGGTAGCGTTAGCCGCCATGGCCACGCCGGAAGTGGTCTCACATCCATCGACGTCCGCGCGCAGAGTGTAAAAGAGCGCGCTTCCGCTTTGGCCGCAGCGCACGCAGGCACGGACAGTCGCTGGACGAGCTCGAGAGCCAGTCAGCTCGATCCATCACCGCTTTCTCGATCTGCGGTTTTTCTCTGTTCCAGCGTCTGCAGGGCAGGTGGACGCCCTATGCGCCCCTGAAGTTTCGGGGAACAGTAAAAGATACCTTGCCTCGTGGATAGTCTTCCTCCGGTCTTATTGGACTGCTTATTCTGCAGTCTTATGGTCCCGTAGATAGTTGCATCTCATTTTAAGCCAGAATATTTCTTCAAACCAATAAAATATTTCCCGCCTCTAACTCGCTGTTCGGCAATTCCGCCCCCCCAAAAAACCGACTCCTCTTCTGTAGTTTTTTAATCCATACGATTGAAAATCCACAGCCTTTTCTTTTTTACAGTTATAATGCTCTTTGTATTCAGCAGTATTAAAAATTATACTAAGGACTTAAATTTTTTCTTAATCTTTACTATTTTATTTATCTTTCTTATATTGTTAAACATAAAAGTCTACTATAAGCGCCAGTGGCTCACGCCTGTAATCCTAGATACTCAGGAGGCTGAGATCTGAGGATCACGATTCAAAGCCAGCCCGGGCAAGAAAGTCCGTGAGACTCTTATCTCCAATAATCCACTAGAAAACCGGAAGTGGCGCTGTGGCTCAACCGGTAGAGTGCTGGCCTTGAGCTGAAGAGCACAGGGACAGCCCTCAGGCCCAGAGTTCAAGCTGCCAAAAAAATGTCTACTACAGGCATTTTTGTTCAGAGCCTCTGTGCTCAAGGCTAGCGCTCTACCCCTTGAGTCACAGCTCCACTTCCAGCCTTTTCTGAGTAGTTTATTGGAAAATAGGAGTCTCTCTCGGCCTTTTCTGACCAGGCTGGCTTTCAGCTGTGATTCTCAGATCTCAGCCTCCTGAGTAGCTAGGATTACAAGCTTGAGCCTCCTGCTCAACAATTTTTTTTTTAACAGACAACTAATGGATGTCGCTGTAAATTTTATGCTGGTGTCATTGAAGGCGGAAAATTCATGCTTTTGCACTTCTATTTTTAAAAAAAGATAGAAAGCAAACAAATTCTGCACCCTAGTTCTTTTTATATTTGTATCCGGGGATCTTGGTGAGAAATCACGAAGATCACCTTTCATGCCTACAACATATGAGTGGTAGGCACCTACCACCCTCCCATTGAATAAGCAGGGGCTTTTTTTTATACTATTAGACTAAAGGTTTGACTAAAATCATACTGTTTGACTTAAAAGTTTGAGTGCACAGATACATAGACCATGCATGCGTCTATGTTGCTAAATATGATTCAGGAGAGAAACTCTAAGCCAGAGTGGAACTAGTGAACAGAAAACAAGTTTTACAAAAGGAAGGCTGAAGGAAAAAGAGGGAAGGAGCTGGCGTTCCAAGGAGGAAGAATAGACAATAAGGGGGAAGGGATCTAGTGACAAACTTGGAGAGACGTTAGCAGGTAACCTTTCACCCCACCAGCCCGCCCCTCTCCGTCTGGCCTCCTCCCTACTTGCCTCCTAACCCCGCCCTTCTCCATAGCTCCGCCCCTGCTCTATCAATCCCCGCCCCACCAAGTACCTGTCCAGTCCAGTGAGCTCCGCCCCATCCCCCGCCTACCCTGCTCTAACCCCGCCCCGAGCCGCTGGCTCCACCGGCCCCTGAAGGCCCCGCCCCGCTCACGTCGTTAGCCCCGCCCCAGTCCCCTCATTAACCCGGCTCCAGTTCCCTGGCTCCGCCCCGGACTCCTCAGGCCCCGCCCCGCTAGGTCCCTCCCGGCCCCGCCCTGTCCCGCCGCGGGCGGCTGGCGAGTCAGGTGACAGCCCGGAAGCTGCGGAAGCCGATGAAGGAAGAGCGGCTGCGGCCCCCGAGGGCCGGTGCGGACCCGCTCGGCGCACCGCGGCCCGGGCGCAGCCCTTCTGCGCGCGGCCCTCATGCGGCGCCGTCGCTGACAGCTGGAGGCCGCCGCTCTCGGTCCTCCGAGGACCGTGGGGTCGTCCGGCCCGCCGGCCTCAGCGGCTAACGTCGGCGGGGCCGCGGCTGCCTCCCATGGAGCAAGCCGGGCACGGCGGCGAGAGCGCCCCTCGGGGCCCCGTCCTGCACATCGTGGTGGTCGGCTTCCACCACAAGAAGGGCTGCCAGGTGAGGTCGGGGTCCGCGCCCCCGCCGGGCGCCTCCGCCGCCGCCGGCTCCGCTCGTGGGGCCCCCGCCCTCTGCCTGCGCTCCCGCGGATTGCAGCGCGCGCCCGGCGCGGGGGAGGCGGGAGGGGCGGGGGCCGCGCTCCCCGTCCTCCCCGTCGGAGTCCGGTGGTCGCTTTCGGGGCGTCTCGGGGGACGTAGCTCCGGGCCGGTTTTCGGGAGGCGGGCACGGTGAGCTCCTTACCCGCGAGCCCCTGGGTGGGCAGCAACTTCCTTTGTTTACCTCCTGCAGGCCTGGGAACCGGGGTGCGCGGGTGGCGGGTGGGCGCCCTCCCCGCGCACCCTCCCCTCTCCCGGCCAGGCCTCGCGTTTTACTCCTGTCCTGAGCGATTGATTTTGTTTGGCAAGGTCGGCCTCTCCTGGTCGGTCACAGCAAGCAAAATGTGCAAGTCGACTTTTCCCTGCGTCCTCTCACCAGTTCTCGAATCCGACATCTGAAGTGGAACACTTGCAGGCTGGGTCCCGAAGGCCCAGGAACAAAATAGAAAACGGGGTTCGAGAGTCGCAAACCCTGGAAGCAATGATGTCATAGTGTGCCAGTGAACACTGAAGTGCGTCTTATTAAAGTGTCGAAAATCCTAATCGCCACCGCCAGGCAACCTTGCATTTGGTTTCTTGTGTTCTGGAGAAAAATGTAACCTTTAGAAGACTTATTGGCAAAAGTGCAGTCGCTTAGAGGATGGTGACACAGAAGCTTGAAAGGAATAAAGAGATGTTTATTCTAGGCATTTTGAAGACTGAAGTTTCAGATATTCCTTATTCCTCAGGAAGGAGTAGCCTTATTCCCATGTGATAGTAAAAAGTTTAGAGTACTTGAAAAGCCCCCGTGTTTGAACCTGTTGTAAAGTGACTCATGGTGTGTGTGTGAACCTTGATATGGTCAGCACTACAAACAGTCCTGGAGTCTGAGCTGCATTGATTGCCACCATTGCCCACATTGTCAACTCTGTAGGGTAAAGAAAGTTGGAAGTGAGCCAGGTGCCAGTGGCTCACTTACGTAATCCTAGCTGCTCGGGAGGCTGAGATCTAAGGATCCCCATTCAAAGCCAGCTGTAGCAGGAAAATTCAACTGGGAAAAAACTAAGGGGCAGTGCCCAAGCTGAGAGTTCAAGCTCTTGTACTAACAACCCCTTCCTCCCCCTCACACACAAAGAAAGGTGAAGTTGAAGCGTCATTCAGCTGTAGGGAATGCATTTTGTCCCTTTGTTGTTACTGTCACTTGCAAGTCAGAGTTTATTGTGCTTTCTACTACTAGTGGGTGGTATGGCCTTGGTATCCAGCAAGGAAACACGTGCAGTGTTGCGTAGAGATTGTAGAAAACCAAACCGGTTGTAAGAGGAAAAGAGCACTGGAGCCAAAGTAGTGCCTGCCTGGGGCTCTAGGCACAGCCTTTCCCTGCCTTTGGCTGTTTGGTTTTAGTCCCAAGGGGAAAGTGACTAGTTTTGTAAGCTAACCACTGCAGAAAGTCAGGAGACTTGCCTTGACCCTGACCTCAGGCAAATCCTGATACCTTTACTTTCTTCCCACTTCCTCCTCCCAGACAGACACTATGAGCTTTTAGATCTGGCATGAATCTTAGGGATTATCCATCCTAAGATGTATCCTGAGCATTCACAGCTATTTTTTTCATTACAAAAAAAAATCTAACAGCTATTTGTCATCGTAACCACTTAGATGTGCACAACTGGCAGTAAACAGATCCTGGTGTTGGGCAATCCTCCCTGATATCTAGATTTCCAAAACCTTTCACTACACAGAAATACAATGTATTGTTCCAACAGCATTTTTAAAGCTATAAACACTTAAAAAAAAAAAAGACCTGCCTTGTTTCTGTGGCTGTAATCCAGCAAATGGATCCTTACAGATATGATGGCAATGTCTGTGCTTGATGGATGTGGATGACGAGTAGAGTGGAAGAGAGTGGGAAGGATCTGTCCCAGTGTAGTGACAATTGAGAGTCCCAGTGGAGCTTTCTTTTCAGGTGCGTAAGGGGGCTTGATTTGTTGCTGCAGCTTTTGAAGATTACGTACCTGTCTTGTAGTGGAACAGAAAATGAAGCACTAGAAACCTAGGGGTGGGCTTGGAAGTCACTCATTGGTAGAAAGCTTGCTTGGTGTGTTTGTTCCATAGCCCTAAATAAAAATCAAATCTGGCTCTACAATTTAAAAACATGCCAAAAAATAAAAAAAAATAAAAACATGCCATAGGTAGACAAAGGCAAAATGTACATTGAGTACAAAGGTGATTGTAGATAGACATGCATCCTGTAGCTTTTGCAAGAGCCAATCATTAAAGATTTTACTGGAGCTAAGTTTTCTTAGGATATTTTGCTAGTTTCCTGTTGTTGCTTTAATGGAAGTTGGCGGGATAGATGAGTGGTTTCTGGGGTCTAATGAGAGTTCAGGTTAGGTAAGTGGCCTTGTCAGGAACCCTAGCTGACTGTCTAGTTACTCAGCCATCCCTCTCCATCAGCAGCCACTGAGTGGTAGATGAAATTGACACCTTAAGTAGATCAGGAACAGTGAGATTTTGGTAAGGGCATAATTTGTATAAGCCCTGTAATTCATCTAGCTTGACAGGCTGTTCAATGGATATATGCTGGAATCAGAAACTAGTTCCTTTCTCTTTTTCCTTTTCTTTTTTTTTTTCTTGGTGGGACTGTGGACTGAACTCTGCCTGTGCTCGTGCCTCTAGCCATATCCCCATTTCTGCACATTTGTGTACAGTCCAGTGCAAGTACATTGTGTGTTTTGGAAAGTGTGTTACATGCCTGAGTTTGAATGTGAATAGCCTTCACTTTTTTAAAGCCAGTGTGTCCATTTTTGTCAGAGCCGGTGCTTACGTAATATTCCCCTGGCTGCTCCACTTTTCATGTTAAGATTTCCTTCTAGGTGTAAAGAATTAAGCGTATGCCCAGTTCCTTGGATTGTGGCCCTGCCTTGGGATGCTTTTAGTCTGTGTGAATTTGTTAGCCCACCCTCCTCTTACCCAGGCTGGCTATGGTCCTGCTGCATACAGTCAACTGTAGTTGGGATTCAGGTGGACTGAGATAAGAAAAAAAAAACTTTGTCTAAAAGTGCTGCCTTCTGGCAGTGGCTTGCTCAGGTGTGGCTACAAGCAGGGCCGCTGTTCTTTCTGGGGCTAGAGTGGGAGAGCCATCCCTTTAATGGTTCCTTGGAGAACCAGGTGACTAGGGAGAGGCTCATCATGGTGCCCTTTGAAGCCTTCAGTTGTATTTTAAATGGGAAATTTCCTCACTTAAATTAAAGTGAATATCTACTAACTTTATCACATGATTTTTTTTCTCATTTGTAGGAGTAACTTATGAATGAATCCTATAGATAAACAAGCTAAGTTGTAGTAATTTTTCTACTTTATGGCTATATTTAACATTTAGAACATTTTCAGTGGCTTAAAATATTGTCATGGCTTTTTAAAGTTTTGAAATATTTAGCTTTTGCAACTTTTGAGGCATAGCATCAGCCTGGTCTTTTGCTAGTTATTTTGAAGATGGAGTCTCACCAATTTTTCTGGCTTCAAACCTTGATCCTCCAGATCTCAGCCTTCCAAGTAGGTAGGATTACAAGTGTGAGCCGCTGGTGCCCAGCCTTATTCTTTTTAATTTGACAAAAGACTCCTCTGCCTAGAAAACTTAGCTGAAATAAACTCTAACATGAAATAATTTATGTATACCCTTCTATACAGTATTTTCTTGTTTTGCATCGTATGTAGCTCTTATTTGTTCAAACATACAAATAAAATTTGTTAGGTCAGCATACATTTTTGGTAATTTATATAATGAAATAACAGATAAACTCTGGTTCTCTCATAGATGTTAGAACTTTTTTAAACATTCAAATCAATAGGGAACAGTTACTTCCCAAGTGATCTCATTAAAAAAAAGTAGTACTGATTTTTAGTAGAGTTCATTGCTTTGTATGCATCAGTAGTGGTTTTCATTCTTATGTAAGTGCATCACTCTTGGTTTTAATTGTAGTCGTAGAAGGATTGAGCTGTTAACGGGGGAGCTGCAGCAGTACCCTGCATAGATGCTTGCCAGAAAGTCTTCAATGGCTAGCAGAACCTGTGGTGCAGGTTCAGGGCTGGGCTGAGGTTGGGGAGGTTGGTTTATGTGCGTTTGACATGGCTCTGTGGCTCTACAGGAGCCTTGCTCTATTCAGATTTAGTGACAGATGGTCACCAGAAGGCTGGTTGTTTGGGCACCTGCCGTTGAGGGAACCCTGTGGTGACAGTGATGAAATATTCCAGAGGCGTTGCTCAGGACTCTTATAGAGTAGAAGGGCTTGGAAAGAAAGAGCAAAACTTTAGAGGGTTAGAGGCTAAAGGAGAATAACATTTAAAAAATCTTTTAGCTACAGGGTTTACAGAAACTTTGTCCTGAAAGAAAAATCACATTTCCTAGCCTTTCATTGCAGTCTTCTTCCTTGTTCCTCCTCTTTTTCTCCCTCCATCTCTGTCCTTCCTCATGGCCTTCCTTAAAATTCCCATGTTTTGGTGGAGTTTCTCTGAAATCACGTGACTCTCTGACCTTGCAGTGCCCCCAAATGAATGTTTAGAATAGTGGAATCATTTGCAATGAAGGAATTTACATATGTCAGGGGTACTTTGGCCCCTTATAATTCCAGCTAGCTAGAAAATGACTTTTCTTGGCTATAGTCTCTGGTCCCCATAAAATGCTTGTAGAGCTTATCTGATCTCCTTCATATTCTTAATTTGTTGTGTGTCCTCAGGGGTTTCTGACAGAGGCTTTGTCACTATTCTGGTTTTTGGTAGTGTTCTGGAAATTAAGTTGTTAGAAGACTAATTTCTCAATAACCTCTGTCTGGGTGTCCGTTGTGCTCATTGCATGTGCATCACTGCACTCACCATGCTTATTGCAGGTGCATCTGCGCTCACCATGCTCACGCACGAGGATCCCTGTGC